ATCAGCCCAGAGGTTGTTTCAGTGTTTCAATTTAGAACTTGTATACAATTCCACAAAACCTTGAGCTGTCAAGATGCCCTAGCTTCTTTGAGTTTTTGTACAAAACCACAAGGAAAGAAAACCTTTTTTTAATCAAAAATTTCACTTTCACTTACATCTGCAATGACAGGGCTTGAGTGTTGCTTCCTACATTTCACAGCCATAAACTTCTTCTCTGAGCTAAATGGTCTTTCATCTGTGCGCATGTAGTCATCTCTGATGTCATGAAACCCAAGCTGCATGAGATTCAAATGTTTATTTACTTTTATATCCATATGTCAACCAGATTCATCATTTTCCGCACATCGGTTCACTGGTCAAACACAAAGAATTCAGTCGAGGTTGCAAGGATGAAATTTGAATAATCCTTTGAAAGTACCTTGGCACCTCACTTGTGCGCTTTGTGTTTGACCAGTGAACCGATGGTTGGAAAATGGTGAATGGCTACAGCTCTTTCAAAAGAACAAGACACCAGAACAAGACCAAACTCAGGGTGTGCACAAGTAACTTTCCATACTGACTTTACCAGCCTTCACATRCTTTCAGTTCATCTCCATTCAGCTGTGCCAATGCTGTACTTGCRATGGTGATTAGCGATGACAAGTTTACTGTGCGGACACATTAACCCCAGACCCACTTGAGTAAAACTGACCAATCAGATAACAGTAAACTAGACAGAGATTGAACTGATAAAATGTGTTAGCCAATCAGATTATCACGTTCCCACACTCTTATTACATCGATGTGCTATCTGATTGGCTGGTTAAAAATATTGAACTAAATGTTGCAATATGATTGGTTAATGATACAAGTTTATTAAAGTGGTCCCGGTTGGAGTATTCACACAGTAACCAGAGTAAATTGAAGGAGGATTGACATTTTCCAAGGGGTGGGGAGGGTCTGAAGAGTGCATATTATGCATTCGCCAGTTTCTTACCACCTATAAAGCATTTCAATTTGACTCATTTGATTCAACTTTGAGGGACACTTTGCATGAACACAATACTTTTCAGGTGCAGTGAAGTACCCCTCAAAGCTGAGAATAGAAGAAACCAGTCCATTTCCAGAAAATATCTATACCTCCCCCATGGAGAGGAAATTGTGAGGGGGGGAGGGGTGTTCTGAGGAGGGTATCTCTTACTGTATTTTGATGTGTCTTTTTTGGATAAGGTTATGAGTATAGGATCAGTCAGTCTAAATATCTTTTTTTTTTCTCACCAGGACAGCATCTTTTCATACATATATTGATATAATTTGACAATATTTACTGTATCAATATTTTTAAGTTAAGAAAGTGGACTTACCTTGTATGCTGCGGTGACTAGTGCACCTTCTGTAGGCTGACCAAACAATTGACCATTCCTTATAGTTGCATTATTACACAATAATCCAGTCTACAACAACAACAACAACAAAAAATTTATCTAGAACCAGAATTGGAGAGAGTATATGAAACAAGAAAAAATATTGAAAACTTGGTTACAAGCTAATTACAACAACCTTAC